GCTGAAAACTCATCAAGGTTACCTTATTTATCAATTTTCTCATCTCACGAGTTTACATAGCTGTCTTGAATTCTCCCAACGCCCCCTCGTATTTACATCAGGCTATGCAAACACAGAGAACGTGTACAGAGTTTTTTCTTTTTTTAAAATCAATTCGAGAGTGGGCAGCGTCTTCTTTTATATAAGATAATTTCATAGCATACAACTTAGATGTTTGAGTATAAACATTCCTACCTTTACAAAGATGATCGAGAAAGCTCCTGAAGCGACGACAACTAGAAGAAGCGAAGATAAGAAGTCAGACAAACTTAACTTTCAGTGACATGTCAAGGTAGCCGCCATTTTGATTACTTGTGCTCAGTCTTTCTCGAACAACAAACACGAAGTGAATTGTGGGCGGAGAACCGTGCACGTGCGGCCTCCAGTTGCCCGTGCGAAACGAAACTTCTATCAGGTGCGGTCACACTGGAGGTCTTCCCCATGGGGAAATCGCTTGAGTTAGGATCGCTCTGGGTTTTGATCACTTTCATATTTGCGGTCATATAGCGATAAATTACGGAAGGAAAAACTTGAACCCCGGTTTGTGGGACGGTGCTATTAAATGGGGGTACCCAATTCTCAGTTAACTACTATTTTTTAATCCAGTTCTCATTTAACTACTAATTTTGGTTGGCTATTAACTTTCACTTTCCTACAGCGAATATTATTCCGTCATAACCCGAATTTTCCCTCTCTCAACAAGTCTATCACTTTTGGGCCGGTGGGCTCTAATAAAATCAAGGAATAAATTTACATGAACTATGCCCTAGTACAATTTATTATATTAGTAACTGAAAACATAAGTCGTATAACCATCAATAAGACACCAGCCTCATGGATCCAGACGCACCAGTCATGATCTCGTACTGATCTTCCCGACATGGTCATGCATGTCCTGCTGTAAACTACTTCAAAGTCACCTTCCTCGGCACTTTCACTATCTGATCGGAATCAGTCTTGTACTTATCTGATTGCTGTATGTCCTTTATCTTGTTGTTGGCCTAAGTTTCAATCCATTCATTTAATCCTTGCAATCCATTGCAACAGACAACGGGAAACATTATCAATGCCAATATATAGTCTTAAATAACAAAACTAGACCATTATTTTTGGAATTCAATTGATGGCCAGCGAGGCAAGCTGAGCGGTGGATTGGGGCTCGCTCTGCCGCTAGCCGATATTTTTTGCTATTTGACCCGGATTTTGTCTTCTTCCCTCTACTGCGGAGTCTGGTCCCTTGGTAGACGTCGACTTCATTTGCTCTTAATTAAAAAAGCAAATTCTAGCCTAAATTCTTGCTTAAAGTACGGGTTGACTAAAATGGTTGCAACGACCTCATAAGAGAAGAATTACCTACCTATCACTTACGAGAGCTATGGAGATCACTACCATGGGGGGAGGGGGAGGTCAAATACTTACTTTATGGATATGTATTACTGTTAAATGTAACGTTTTTAGACAATGTTGGGTGAAGAAGTCTTTGAATAAGAGAATGTGACCAGTACAAGAACGTAGGGGCTCGAACATTTTCTTTTTTGGAACGGGGTTCTCAGATGGGGGATTGGGAACTTGGCTTAAATCATTTTCTAATGGACTGACGAAAGTCACGCTAAAATGTTCATTCTTTTTTGTACTAACAATGTAAAACACAGACCACTAGTACAATACACTAGTTTCTGTATCTGGCATTTCAAAGGGTCATTTCTGAAATAGTGAGATTGTGTTTGGTTATTGATAGTTCCCTGACCCTTAATAGCTCATCTGATCCCAGAGGGATTTTCGTCAGTCAAATGAGTGCTAGGATCTTGAGTCGCTATTTTGGTAGCCTACGAGCAGTCTCTCTTTTTTCTTTGTCCGTCGAGCAAACGCCCGAGGATCTTGATTCGCTATTTTGTTAGCCTACGAGCAGTCTCTCTTTTTTCTTTGTCCGTCGAGCAAACGCCCGAGGATCTTGAGTCGCTATTTTGTCTCATACGTGACGTCATTTCGTACAATGTAAAATTGGCGGGAAGTTCAAGTTTCTCATAGCAGTTATTTTTCTATTATTTGTAACGGGGTTCCCACTGTTATAGGACAATAGAGTACCGAAGTGTGACGTCATAGAAAATGAAATTTGTGAAATTATGGGATTTGTTAAGGTATTCTGAAAGAACAACGTCCAAGACGCCTACTGGCCAAAAATTAGCAATTTGGGGCAGATTGTCTCTGAGATATTAGCCCAGTTATGCTCCGATGACTCCATACAAATCCCTCTAAATCTTACCTGGTTCCTAATCTTATGAACCAAGCCAAATTTAGAAGGATTTGTATGGAATCGTCACAGCATAACTGGGCTAATATCTCAGAGACAATTTGCCCCGAATTGCTAATTTTTGGCGAGTAGGCGTCTTGGACGTTGTTCTTTCAGAATATCTTAACAAATCCCATAATTTCACAAATTTCATTTTTATGACGTCATCACTTCGGTACTCTATAACGGACTGGTGGAGGTGTAAACAGTAACAGACCACTTCCGAGATACAAAAACTCTCACTCTGTAAACGAGGCTAAGTGCAAAACCTTTCTTGTGAAAAAAAAAGTTTTATTTGCATGAAAATACAAAATCATTTTCACATCAATAACTTCGCACTCAGCCTCGCTCTGAAAAAGAATCTTGAGCAACTCGGAAATGGCCTTAAGACTGTAAAAAAATTACTTTAAGTTTAAGACCTTCATTTTCTACTAACAACTTAGAAATGTACAATATTTATTAAAACTAACTGGCCATAGTTAACAATAAGTCATAAAAAATCAATGAAATATTAGAAAGAGTAATGCAAATTCTTAATATAAGAACAGTAAACTAGCTAGTCATAATTAACAATAAATTGAAAAGTAATATACTGAAAGTGACAGATTCACAGATTATCACTAGCCTTAATATTTCTTTAAGTGATGAAAATGTGTTCGGATCATGACCGTCTTTTTCAACCTTCAAAGCCCACAGTTTTTTCTTATGAAAATTCACAAATAAAGGAGACCGTAAGAAAATACAAACTGGTCACATGACAGTGCCAAACAAAGAATTTCCAGCCGCTTTAATGGACGCAACTGGTTACGCGTGATCTGTGGACACAGTTGATTTTTTAAACGATTGTTGTCGAACAAATTTCTTTTGCATCGGAGGGATTTGAAGGCTCAGAGAAAACTCAATCAACAAAGACACTGTCATCTTTTTATTTCGGACTGGAAAAACATTGTCCTTCCTGGTGTGACCTTGTCTTTTAAACAGCTAAAAAGGCGCAAAGTTTCATTACTTTATATGTGGCTAGTCGTGTCAATAAACACCGCTCTGATGTCGCTGGCGAGCTAAACATTACGTCCTGTACATACTATAATAAATAATTTTTTGAGGAGGCCTCCAGTCACCTTAAGGTGGTTTTTAGGAGGGTCCTAAAAAAAAACAAGATCAAAAATATATGAAAAATACACTAAAATACGGTTACAAACTAACACTACAAGAAAGATTTAAAAATTGAACTAACATTACAAATACTAACTACGATTCAAAATGATTTAATAAAAACTGTTTCAGTTGTGTTTCAACTGCGTTTATACTGCGGGCGCGATACTCTCAGGGAGTGGACCACATAGAGATCAGTCTCATAACTGAAGTAATTAACAAGTTGAAAAGATATGTTTTATGTCGTATAAAATTATTCCAAACTATAAGTGTGAACGGAATCTGGTAAGGACCAGATATTTACACTGAACAAATATAGTGCCTTACACGCTTTTGCAGAAAAAACTTTGCAAATATAAGGTATATGGAATTAACAAAAAAGTCATATTTCACTTCTTAAAAGACTAACTATCAAATACAAATGGATAAAACAAACGACTAACTGTGGAACAAAATACGCCATTTCTCTATTTAGAGGGGGTTTGGAAGCCACAAGTAAAAAATTGAAGAAAAGTTATCTACGAAGCCTGGCATTCCTTAGTTATCTAAAAATTGAATACGACGATGAACTATATCTGTTTTGAAAACAATATTTAGCTGAGTCCTCAGTGATATGAGCGTGTAGAACTGGATGTTACGAGTATATAGCTGATTCGAGAAAGGTTGCCACGTGAAAAGATGAATTCGGACGCTACAATGCAGAGAGATTAGTGAATGTCATTAGTTCATAGTTGCTTTCGTTTTTATTCTTTTACTTGTGTTCCAGTCTACAAGCGACCAAGGTACCGGCAAGTGAGCAACTCATCATTTAGAGTTCGTCATATTCTGCTGTTTCCGTTATATTGTGCTGCAATGTAACTGAAAAAAAATATTGTTATTTTTTTTTTATAAGGAAACATATAAGGGTCTTCCGAGTAAAAAATGAGTAGCTTCTTAGAGTTACCCCAAGGTAGGTCATTTCCCGGATTTCCGAAGTCTCTGTTTTAAACTCTCCGGAGGGCTTAATTTCAGAAACTGGGAATAACATTCAAAGACGAAATTCTTGTATTTCTTTAAACTGCAACAACGTTTTTTGCAACTTAAAAACTTTAATCAAGTAAAGAATGATCCTCGCTGTTGTCATTTGTTACCTTCTCCCAACATCAGTGGCTTCATAGCTCAGTTGGTTAGAGCTTCACACCGGTATCGCGAGGACACGGGTTCAAATGCCGTTGAAATTCTGAAGTTTTTTCAGGTTTCTCTTACGCAATTGCATAAATTGCGTTCACAACTGCGAGGATCATTCTTTACTTGATTTCATTTTCCGCTGTTTTCATTTATGATCTATTTCGTATAGATTTGTCGCATTAAAAAATTTAGCCCAAAAATTTTTTCGTAGTAATTCCATTTTAATCTTCTTCATCCGAAACTATTCTTTATCTTATAAGTATTATCAACGTGTGGTTTTTCTAACACTATCTTTTTGCGTTTCATTGACTCAATAACATTTTCAACCAAACTTACCCAAAGAACCTCACCTTCATTGGTCCAAATTTAAAGTGACGTCATCGCCAATCAGCATAAATGTTGCCCAGTACTTCACGGCATTGAAGTCGTCTGACTCCCGCATCATTTTCATGGCCTCGTGCAGTGACTTACTTGCACTCTGCCCCTTGACCAAATGTTCGTAAAAGTGTCTCATAAACGTCAGAGTGGCTTCGTCGTCAATCGCCCAAAGTGACGCAATAACAGAACGCGCACCGGCTCCTAAAAAGGCACGTGCAATACCAACCACGCCCTCAGCCTTGATCTTCCCTCGTCCACTGTGACAGCAGCTCAANAAACGTCAGAGTGGCTTCGTCGTCAATCGCCCAAAGTGACGCAATAACAGAACGCGCACCGGCTCCTAAAAAGGCACGTGCAATACCAACCACGCCCTCAGCCTTGATCTTCCCTCGTCCACTGTGACAGCAGCTCAAGACAACAAGCTTGGCGTCCAATTTTGCATTCAACACATCTGTCATCGTCAAAAGACAGTCTTTCTCTTCGGGAGGATTAGGGCTGCCATGATTAGGTGACAACAGAATTTCACCCCTTTCTGCAGAACCATGAGCTGCAATGTGAACTAAAGAAACTGAGTTCAGCTTGCTTAACACTTGTTCTCTTGTAGCGTTTTTTCCAATAAGAGGCTCAACGTTTAATATCTCACCAATCATTTTTACCTCTTTTTCAGCGCCAGGAAGCTGCTCAATTTTCTCTCCTTCGATGCGTACAGTTTCAATCCACGGATTACCAACAAGCAGTGCACCAGTTGTACAATGGCGCCCCTCTGGACACTCTGACAGCAGCCTCAAGCTTGTTAGTGACGGAGCCATTCGAATTCTCAGCGTTTCAGACAAATACCTGGAATTTTGATCCAAAAGGGCAGCATAAGGAATCAAGAATGATGAACCATCAGGAACAATGATAAGTTCCTCATCTTTTATCAAGTGTGAAATCGGAGCAATAACCACATTATACAATTCCTTTAAAGCATCACCCCCAGCTTGTGACGATGTAAATTCTTTTTCATTGGCATCCCTATTGGATGAATCTTCAATAGATTCGTTGTCTGGATCATCCAATGAACGGTCTTCGCACCTGGCAGGTTTTGTAGCACGAATTTGTTCGTATGCTTTGTTAGTCATATCTTCCAAGGTACAACTGAGTTTTCTGCCCTTAATAAACTGCCACTCTTGGTCCCTTTGCAACACCCAGAAGAACACTGACTCGAAAGCTTCCGCAAGAAATGCCATGGGCGATGAAATAAGGCTTGAAATGTTAGTTATTCTTTCAATCTGCTCTTTTGATTCTGATGGAGTTGATTTTGCGCCATACTGTGATTCCATCAGATCAGCGAGAGCTTGCGCTCGTCCCCTCTCAGCTGTTAAAAGGGCCTCTTTGCTTTTTCTTTGTCGTAACTGACTAATCCACAAATAACTGTACGTTTTTAATTGATCCCGAAAGCTGATTTTCCATTCGTCTTTCTCTTGAAGAAGAAATCTCATCTCCTCAAACACTTTTATACTGGATTCATAACAATCTTCAGCCTTACGGTAATCATGAAGGTTGTAAAAAGGAGAGCCAAGACTTAAGTACGTGTTTTGTTCTAAATGTTTGTCTCCAATCTCTTTTGCTATACTAAGAGACTGCTGATGAAATTCGATTGCTTTTTTATGATCACCGAGACGGTGATACGCACTGCCAAGGTTGTTATATGCTGCACCCTCTGAACCTTTGTTTCCCATCTCTTTGGAAAAACTAAGACACTGCTGATGAAATTCGATTGCTTTTTTATAGTCACCGAGTAAGTGATACGCATTGCCAAGGTTGCCATATACACTACTTTCTGTATTTTTTTCTCCAATCTTTTTTGCGATAGTAAGAGACTGCTGATAAAATTCGATTGCATTTTTATAATTACCGAAAGACTGATACGCATTGCCAAGATTGACATATGCTTCCCCTTCTGAACCTTTGTCTCCAATCTCTTTTGCGATATTAAGAGACTGCTGATGAAATTCGATTCCTTTTTTATGATCACCGAGACGGCGATACGCATTGCCAAGGTTGGTATATACTTTACCTTCTAAACCTTTGTTTCCAATCTCTTTTACGATACTAAGAGACTGCTGATGAAATTCGATTGCTTTTTTATAATTACCGAGGGAGTCATACGCACTGCCAAGGTTGCAATAATCTCCCGATTCTGAACCTTTGTTTCCAATCTCTTTTGCGATACTAAGAGACTGCTGATGAAATTCGATTGCTTTTTTATAATCACCGACAGAGTCATACGCAATGCCAAGGCCGGTATATGCTTCACCTTCTGAGCCTTTGTCTCCAATCTCTTTTGCGATACTAAGAGACTGCTGATGAAATTCGATTGCTTCTTTATAATCACCCAGAGAGTAAGACGCATTGCCAAGGCCGGTATATGCTTTCCCTTCTGAACCTTTGTCTCCAATCTCTTTTGCGATACTAAGGGACTGCTGATAAAATTCGATTGCTTTTTTATAATCATCGAGAGAGTGATACGTACTGCCAAGGTTGCAATATGCTCCCGCTTCTGAACCTTTGTTTCCAATCTCTTTTGCGATACTAAGAGACTGCTGATGAAATTCGATTGCTTTTCTATGATCACCGAGAAAGCAATAGGCACTGCCAAGGTTGTCATATGCTGCACCTTCTAAACCTTTGTTTCCAATCTCTTTGGCGATACTAAGACAGTGCTGATGAAATTCGATTGCTTTTTTATAGTCACCGAGTAAGTAATACGCATTGCCAAGGTTGCCATATACACTGCCTTCTGTATTTTTTTCTCCAATCTTTTTTGCGATAGTTAGAGACTACTGATGAAATTGGATTGCTTTTTTATAATTACCGAGAGACTGATACGCATTGCCAAGATTGCCATATGCTTTACCTTCTGAACCTTTGTCTCCAATCTCTTTTGCGATACTAAGAGACTGCTGATGAAATTCGATTTCTTTTTCGTAATTACCGAGACAGCGATACGCAATGCCAAGGTTGCCATATGCTATACCTTCTGAACCTTTGTTTCCAATCTCTTTTGCGATACTAAGAGACTGCTGATGAAATTCGATTGCTTTTCTATGATCACCGAGAAAGCAATAGGCACTGCCAAGGTTGTCATATGCTGCACCTTCTAAACCTTTGTTTCCAATCTCTTTGGCGATACTAAGACAGTGCTGATGAAATTCGATTGCTTTTTTATAGTCACCGAGTAAGTAATACGCATTGCCAAGGTTGCCATATACACTGCCTTCTGTATTTTTTTCTCCAATCTTTTTTGCGATAGTTAGAGACTACTGATGAAATTGGATTGCTTTTTTATAATTACCGAGAGACTGATACGCATTGCCAAGATTGCCATATGCTTTACCTTCTGAACCTTTGTCTCCAATCTCTTTTGCGATACTAAGAGACTGCTGATGAAATTCGATTTCTTTTTCGTAATTACCGAGACAGCGATACGCAATGCCAAGGTTGCCATATGCTATACCTTCTGAACCTTTGTTTCCAATCTCTTTTGCGATACTAAGAGACCGCTGATGAAATTCGATTGCTTTTTTATAATAACCGAGGGAGTCATACGCATTGCCAAGATTGGTATATACTTGACCTTCTAAACGTTTGTTTCCATTCTTTTTTAAGATACTAAGAGACTGCTGATGAAATTCGATTGCTTTTTGATAATCACCGAGACGGTAATACGCAATGCCAAGGTTGCCATATGCTGTACCTTCTGAACCTTTGTTTCCAATCTCGTTTGCGATACTAAGAGACTGCTGATGAAATTCTATTGCTTTTTTATAATTACCGAGGGAGTCATACGCACTGCCAAGGTTGCCATATGCTTTACCTTCTGAACGTTTGTTTCCAATCTCTTTTGCGATACTAAGAGACTGCTGATGAAATTCTATTGCTTTTTTATAATCACCGACAGAGTCATACGCTCTGCCAAGGCCGGTATATGCTTCACCTTCTGAGCCTTTGTCTCCAATCTCTTTTGCGATACTAAGAGACTGCTGATGAAATTCGATTGCTTCTTTATAATCACCCAGAGAGTAATACGCACTGCCAAGGCCGCTATATGCTTTGTCTTCTGAACCTTTGTCTCCAATCTCTTTTGCGATACTAAGAGACTGCTGATAAAATTCGATTGCTTTTTTATAATCATCGAGAGAGCGATACGCACTGCCAAGGTTGCAATATGCTCCCGCTTCTGAACCTTTGTCTCCAATCTCTTTTGCGATACTAAGAGACTGCTGATGAAATTCGATTGCTTTTTTATGATCACCGAGACCGGAATACGCACTGCCAAGGTTGGTATATGCTGCCCCTTCTAAACCTTTGTTTCCAATCTCCTTGGCGAAACTAAGACACTGCTGATGAAATTCGATTGCTTTTTTATAGTCACCGAGTAAGTAATACGCATTGCCAAGGTTGCCATATACACTGCCTTCTGTATTTTTTTCTCCAATCTTTTTTGCGATGGTAAGAGACTGCTGATGAAATTGGATTGCTTTTTTATAATTACCGAGAGACTGATACGCATTGCCAAGATTGCCATATGCTTTACCTTCTGAACCTTTGTCCCCAATCTCTTTTGCGATACTAAGAGACTGCTGATGAAATTCGATTTCTTTTTCGTAATTACCGAGACAGCGATACGCAATGCCAAGGTTGCCATATGCTATACCTTCTGAACCTTTGTTTCCAATCTCGTTTGCGATACTAAGAGACTGCTGATGAAATTCTATTGCTTTTTTATAATTACCGAGGGAGTCATACGCACTGCCAAGGTTGCCATATGCTTTACCTTCTGAACGTTTGTTTCCAATCTCTTTTGCGATACTAAGAGACTGCTGATGAAATTCTATTGCTTTTTTATAATCACCGACAGAGTCATACGCTCTGCCAAGGCCGGTATATGCTTTACCTTCTGAACCTTTGTCTCCAATCTCTTTTGCGATACTAAGAGACTGCTGATGAAATTCGATTGCTTCTTTATAATCACCCAGAGAGTAATACGCACTGCCAAGGCCGCTATATGCTTTGTCTTCTGAACCTTTGTCTCCAATCTCTTTTGCGATACTAAGAGACTGCTGATAAAATTCGATTGCTTTTTTATAATCATCGAGAGAGCGATACGCACTGCCAAGGTTGCAATATGCTCCCGCTTCTGAACCTTTGTCTCCAATCTCTTTTGCGATACTAAGAGACTGCTGATGAAATTCGATTGCTTTTTTATGATCACCGAGACCGGAATACGCACTGCCAAGGTTGGTATATGCTGCCCCTTCTAAACCTTTGTTTCCAATCTCCTTGGCGAAACTAAGACACTGCTGATGAAATTCGATTGCTTTTTTATAGTCACCGAGTAAGTAATACGCATTGCCAAGGTTGCCATATACACTGCCTTCTGTATTTTTTTCTCCAATCTTTTTTGCGATGGTAAGAGACTGCTGATGAAATTGGATTGCTTTTTTATAATTACCGAGAGACTGATACGCATTGCCAAGATTGCCATATGCTTTACCTTCTGAACCTTTGTCCCCAATCTCTTTTGCGATACTAAGAGACTGCTGATGAAATTCGATTTCTTTTTCGTAATTACCGAGACAGCGATACGCAATGCCAAGGTTGCCATATGCTATACCTTCTGAACCTTTGTTTCCAATCTCTTTTGCGATACTAAGAGACCGCTGATGAAATTCGATTGCTTTTTTATAATTACCGAGGGAGTCATACGCATTGCCAAGATTGGTATATACTTGACCTTCTAAACCTTTGTTTCCAATCTCTTTTACGATACTAAGAGACTGCTGATGAAATTCGATTGCTTTTTGATAATCACCGAGACGGTAATACGCAACGCCAAGGTTGCCATATGCTGTACCTTCTGAACCTTTGTTTCCAATCTCGTTTGCGATACTAAGAGACTGCTGATGAAATTCTATTGCTTTTTTATAGTTACCGAGGGAGTCATACGCACTGCCAAGGTTGCAATATGCTCCCGATTCTGAACCTTTGTTTCCAATCTCTTTTGCGATACTAAGAGACTGCTGATGAAATTCGATTGCTTTTTTATAATCACCGACAGAGTTATACGCATTGCCAAGGCCGGTATATGCTTCACCTTCTGAGCCTTTGTTTCCAATCTCTTTTGCGATAGTACGAAACTGCTGATAAAATTCGATTGCTTCTTTATAATTACCGAGAGAGTAATACGCATTGCCAAGGCCGGTATATGCATTACCTTCTGAACCTTTGTTTCCAATCTCTTTTGCGATACTAAGAGACTGCAGATAAAATTCGACTGCTTTTTTATAATTATCGAGAGAGTGATACGCACTGCCAAGGTTGCAATATGCTCCCGCTTCTGAACCTTTGTCTCCCATCTCTTTTGCGATACTAAGAGACTGCTGATAAAATTCGAGTGCTTTTTTGTAATCAGCGACATGGTGATACACCATGCCAAGGTTGTTATATGCTCTGCCTTCTATGTACTTGTTCCCTGCCTGTTTGGCTTCATTCAATGCTAACTCGAAGAAAATTCGGGCACTTGTGAAATCACAGCGTTTGTAAGCTGCAACTCCGAGGTTATAACTGGAGGTGTTGTCGTTTAGTCCATGTTTACCTTCAGCTTTCCTGAAAGACTAAAAACAGAAGAAAATTACTAATTTTAAAGACATTTGATATTAGGCTGATTTCTACTGAG